TCATTCCTCACTCTCTGGACGATCCATCACCCTCACTCTCCAGTAAGGAGAGCCAGAAGTGTGCTGGGCCAACAGTAGGAACATAGATGTGTATTCTGTGTCTATTCTCCTCTGCTCCCTCATGGTGTTTGGTGGACTCACTTTCCAAATCAAGGCCTTGCATTCAAGTCCACACCCCACAGGCTGCTTCTGGAGAACCCAACCTGAATATTGGGTTGAGTTTAAACAAATTTCCTGTACCCATTAAATCTAGGCTTCCTTCCTCAAAAGGGAATGGGATGATGTCATCAAGTCCTAGCTGTTAAGCAGTTGACCAGCATGGAGTCCAGGGCCATCATGTACCATCTTATCAGGTAACACAGTGACAGACCCCACTAGCAGCTGGTAAAAGCAGATGTGAAGAAAGAATATTCTAGCATGTTGTCTGTAAAGATAAGTTTAGTGGGAAAGGGGCAGGGCTGCTAATGAAATAGTTCAGAAGGAAATGCATGTCACGCAGCTCTAATATACGACCTGCAATAAATCTGTCAGAAGTTCCTGTACTTCTAGTCTCTGGGACCAATGATCTCTTGTGGTCTATAGTGAATTCCAACTCAATCAAAAGTTCACAAGAGAATCAAGATTAGAACTTCCTGTGGAAGACAAATAAATATCCCAGACTAATCTTCTAGCACAAAATCATAAGGAACACATTTTTATTCATATAATTATATTTCAACTCCTCTTCCATTTTGTCTTAGAATGAAGCTATGGAGACATTGTCTTGGAACCTAGAACTTCTGTGTGTCTTTATGAGACTTTTATTTTATATATCTATTTATTTACTTTTGAGATGGGCTGCAGTCAACTCTGCCCAGGCTATGGACGAATTCCTGAGCTCAAGTGATTCTCCTGTCTCATCCCTTGAGTATCTGGGACTACAGATCCACCCTGGCACTCAGCTCTTTATGGGGATTTATTTGAAAGTCAGATTGGAAAAATAGCAAATAACATTTTTGTCAAGGACAAATCTTAGACAAAAAAATCTTAGTTGGCACAGTGATTCTGTGACTCCTGAAGACTTCAATCATGGTACCAAACCAACCAAACAAATGCTGAGCATGAGACACAGATCTAGAGAATTCCTGAGAGGTTAAATTCTATCAGAAAGTACCCTACGGTGTCATCTCTTAATATTCGGCTAAAGGCGAACTCAAGGCCACATTACTGAATTCCAAGAGAATAACACAGCCAAGTTTTGTGTTAGGGTATTGTCCAAAATTTAAAATTTGAAATAAATGCATTTTAAAATCCACATATTAAGTGCTGCTCAAGTTCAACACATGGAAGGACCAGCTAGACCCAGGGATGAGGAAGTCTGAGGAGGAAGTGAGGGAAAGAAAAAAGGAAGAGCAGAGGCAGCCTTCATAGCCAGTTACCAGCCTGGGGGTCTCTTCAGAGTGACTTCTGGAGAGTCGTTCTCTCTGATACCTTGATCACATGATCTAGGCTGATCCATTTGACCAAACTCACCCCACTAGATAGGTAGAAACCTCTGAAACAAATTTCACTATCTAACCAAGAATGACCAGGAATTCCCAATCCCCCTGCTTCAGCCATCAAGTGCTGGCATGGTAAGTGTGTGCCACCACACCTGGCTACTGGTCAATGAACTTTTGACAAGTATGCTAAGGTGATGAAAAGGAGGAAGGATGGTCTCTTTAAGTGGTGCTGGGAAAATTGGATATCCAAATGCAAATGAGCAAAGATGGATGTTTATTTCCACAGACAACTACTAAAGCTAACAAAAGACCTAGCAAGCTGTAAACTTGTAGGAGAAATCATTTGATAAAATTTTCATGATGTTGGAGTTGCATGTCAAAATACACCCCAGTACTGAGCCCAAAGCCCAGGCCATGGCAGCAACAAAAATAGGTGAGTCAGTCTTCACTGGAGTACAAAAACACTTTTTCTCTTTGCATGAAAAGACACCATCAAGAAAGAAAAAAGACAGACCACAGGGATAGAGGAAAATAGGGAAAATTATCAATTTGACGAGGAGTTACTATTCATTCTACAACTCCATGACAACAGAAAGCTAAAACTTCAATTCAAAAATGGCAAAGGACTTGAATAGACAATTTTAAGTGGTCCACAGATTGCTCAATATCTAAGTCACAATGATGAGGCCATCAATATGGGATCTATGGAGTTTCCTCCTTTAGACACATTATTCAAATGGAGAGGGGTCATCAGAGATGAGCAGAACAAGAAGTAACAACATATTTCTGATTTCCCAAAGGGTCTGTCTGTGGTGGATATGGGAGTGAAGACCAACACCGCTCATCTTGTGTCTGAAGGTGGTTGACCTGGGATACCAATGGGATTTTAGATAGTAAATGGAGGACGCTTTAACATAGTATAAAAATTTTTGAACTTTGGAGTGTGTGCACTTTTCACACTAGGGATAAGATGTATGTTACCAAATATGTCCTTTCCAAACCAAGACTTCTCAACTAGCATACACTGGGAAACAAAGAAGTTGTCATGTGGGGACTGTCAGAAGCTTTCAAAAGAAAGAGGGATTATATGTAAAAAGCACTATGGACTTGAGTATCAGAGCAATAGAGGAAGGGGGTCTTGTTTGTAAAAAAGAAAGTTTTGGCATCTAGCTCAGGGACACATCTATAATACCGTGACTACAGAGGCTCAGGTGGGGGCCGGCAGTGTGGTGGCACATGCCTTTAATCACAGTGCTTGGGAGGCAGAGGCAGGCAGATCTCTGTGGGTTCGGGGCCAGCTTTGTTTGCAAAGTAAGTTCCAAGACAGCCAGGGCTATGCAGAGAGACCCTGTTTTAACAAAACAAAACAAAAGAGAGGTCCAGAGGGAAAGTGTGCTCTACCTTAGGAACTGGAGGCAGCTGAGTGGTGTAGCTGGATAAAAGGGCCGTTCTGTTTTTAGACTTTTGAAGGAACCTCCACAGTGATTTCCATAGTGGCTCTACCCGTTCACCCTGAGTGACAACAGTGATAAGGGCTGCCCTTCCCCTGGAACCTTGCCAGCACGTGCAGTCATTTGTTTCCTTGATAACAGCCATTCTTACCGGAGTATGATGACATCTCAAAGTATTTTTAATTGGCATTTCCCTGGCAGCTGAGGATGCTGAACACTTTTTAAAGTATTTATTAGTTATTTGTGCTTCTTTCGAGAACTCTTCAATTTTAGAAACCACTTTATTCATTATTTATTTATTTTGCCCAAGATCCAGAGCATTATTTAATTGGGGTGGTTGTGCAAAGGTAAACAAGATGGGGGAAAGGGGATAGAAAGGCAGAGGAAAGCTGACTAATGAAAACAAATTCTTCTTTCATCTCCTATGACTCCTAATGAGGGCGGATGGTGCATGGACCATTCCTAGCAATGGTGGATTGTTCCTAATGAGGGCGGATTGTGCATGGACCGTTTCTTAGTGCTGTTGTTTGTTATCTTGATGTTTAGTTTTCTAGGCAGAAGTTCTGTCAGAAGTATCATTGGCAAAGATCGTCTCCTGTTTTGTAGGCTGCCTCTTCGCTCTGTTAACAGTTTCTTTTGCAGTACAGAAGCTCTTAAATTTCGTGAGATCTCACTTTGTCAAGTTTTGGCCTTATTTCCTGGAGTCCTATTCAGAAAGTTCTTGTGTGTACCCATATTTTTGGGCACACTCACTACTTTGTCTTGTAACAGTTTCAGAGTTTCAGGGACACCACTGAGATCTTTGGTTCTCTTGGAATTGATTTTTATTCAGGACGAGAGATAAGGATCCAGTTTCATACTTCTATACGGAGATACCTAATTTTCCCAGAATCATTTACAGAGCAAAATGATGGCAATGCAAGCAGATTTTGTACGACAGCCAGCAGGGTGAGGATCAGCGCTGACACAGCCTGTCTTAATTGATCCAGTACTGGGTGCCCTTGCCAGAGGTGGTTGACCTTTGGGGGAAGGTTATGGGTGGTTCCTGGTGAACAGAAACATTTAGGCTTGTTTACCCAATAACACTCCTTCTGTTTACCCATCCAGAGTCCTTCTGGTTAGGACACTGTCACCAGGACTTTTGGGGAGGGGGGCAGGAGGGGGAGCTTTCGGACTTGGCAGTTATCTTTTCTCCAATGTGTACTTCTGCCTTCTTTAGAAAAAACCATGTGGCTATAGTGAGGTGGCCTTACAGCAGGGTCCTCTGTTCTATCCCACAGTTCTGTGTGTCTATTTTGTTTTTATTACTATTGAGTCACATCAATGTTACATTTTCTCTAAGGTAAGGATTGACCAGTAAGTACTGGGGTTATTGGTGGGTAAGGTACATTTCTTGTTTTTATAATGATTTCCCTGTTTTCTACGGTGAATGTATATGACTGTTAATAATGTTCTGGGGAAGGAGGAAGAAGGGATGGAGAAAGGATGACTACAGGTATAGTGATAGAGTTAGGAGAAATAACTCCTAATGTTCCGTAGCACAGCTGGGTGATTGTGGCTGTTAACCAGAATGGCTATTAGTTTGAAAATTGATTTACCAATGACTACTCTGACCATTACACATTGTATGCATGTATTGAAATAGCATACCGTCTTCCACAAATATGTGCAGATGAAAATATAATCTGGAACGAAACTCGTGTTATGATCAGGGGTAGGGATAAAAGTTACTATTAAGGACCAAAAAGAAAAGAAAAGGAAAGGAAAGGAAAGAAAAAGAAAGTTTTGTAAGCCCAGAAGTATGAGGAAGTATCCTGTAGCAATTTGCCTGGGATGTGTTCCTGGCCAACCCTGAGGATCCTGGACCTCCTCAGAAGTACCTGATTATCAGTTAGCCATCAGGGTGGGTAGAGTTCATGTCCCTGGGACTTGCTGTGTTCCCAGATTCGCGCCATGGCTGAGTTTATGAAGTTTACACAAGCTAGACAGACTGTGCTGTTTGCGTGGGCAGGAACAACCTGGCAGGCTGGGTTTACTCAGGTGAGCGCGCTATCTTTCTGTTTTCCAGCTCGCCCTTGCTTCGTGGGAGAATGGAGTCCCTGGAGCGGCTGTGCGGGCCAGTGCCAGCCCACCACGCGTGTGCGCAGGCGTTCAGTGCAGCAGGAGCCGCTGAACGGAGGGGCACCCTGCCCACCCCTGGAAGAGAGAGCCGGCTGCCTGGAGTACTCCTCATCGCAGGGCCAGGACTGCGGGCACTCCTTTGGTACTGATGTTTTCATGGCTGCTGCCTTTGTTGCTTTTGACGACTTTTGGTCACTTCCTGAAAGGTCATGTTCTGGGCAGGGAAAGTTCCATGAAGTGGAGGGAGCGGGATGGACCAGTCTGCCTAAAGTAGATAGGAAGCTCAGGAAATGCTTATTGAAGGGGGACTAGCCAGCTGTACACATGTCTCTCTTTCCCTTGCTTCCCTTGGTGTTTTTGGTTTTCGTGAGTGTGTGTGTGTGTGTGTGTGTGTGTGTGTGTGTGTGTGTGTGTGTGTGTGTTTAAGGGGATGGTCCTTTCCATCTTGCATGGACTCAGTAATAAACCACATGAGTATGCACCCAGCTGACTGGCCCTTCCCCCTCCTCCTGGGCACTGAACTCAGTAAGTACTCTACCACCGAGCACCACTCCAGCACTCACACGCATGTGTACCGTTTTCAGCACATCAATCAAGCTGGTGACAGAGGACATCAGACAGAGTGATGATATTTCACACAGCATAGCAATCATCTAGCGGTGGTAACCTCTTCACTTCCATTGTGATTTCCGGTTAAACAGAGCTTTTAACTTACACACTAACAAATATGAAAAATGGAAGCAAAGTGATACGTTTCTCAACAGCGATAAAATGATCTTTTGAAACAAGGGCCTCTCCTCTCAGGATGACTGATCTGGGGCTGAAGTGGTCGGATTTGTGAGTCAGTTGGAAAGGTTGTTTGTCTGGGTGCAGTGGCAGGCTCATGGACTCTGAGATACTCCAGGGCAGAAAGCAGAAAGATCATTAAGTCAAAGAGTTCGAGGCCACCTTGGACAACATAATGAGAGCCCATCTCAAAAACAAAAGAAAATAAAGAAAAGAAAAAGAAAGATGGATCTGGTGTGGAGTAGCTGATGAAGGGGACTAGGAAGCTGGCTCACTAATGTACCAGGAACTATGTGAGTATCACGAAGAAATAAACAGAGGCCAGCACCAATGTGTTGATCTGGACTGCAGCAGGGCAACATGTTGACTTTCCTGGGTAGAAACGTCCATATGTTTTTCACAAGAACCTGGGAAATTTTCCATCAACGTGATCTTTATCAAGCAATTTCATTCTTCATTTTTTCCCCATAAATATGTGTTTATTTGCTGAGAGTCAACTTGGTGCCAGACGTGGGGAGGAAAGTTAATGTGAGGCCCAGAGTCTCAGAGATTGCAATTTAGTGGGAAGGGACATAATCATCAGATGACTCTGGGTAAGCGGGAGTGATGTGGTCATTCCCTTTAGTCTTGAGGGACAGGGGTTTCCTTGCAGGTGAAGCTAAGGAATCCTGAGCTGCCCAGAAGAGAGGCCAGCATGCATAAACCTGATGGTCAGTTGTAGACAGTTAGAGGGGCTGATCAAGGCCAACACAGGACCACAAGAGAGAAATCTGAACGGGCAGTGCTTGAGCAGAGTGTAAGAGGGAGTCCTCACAGCGCTGCTCACCTTGTTCTGGAAGGGTGGGGCTGCGATCTAGAGGGGAGGGGGGCACAGTAACGCCCAACGTAGAGGGACCGGAGAGTGCTCTTAGTGACGTAACTCCACAACACTCTGAGGTGACCCTGGACTAGGAAAGTATGAAGGGGAGTGGCAGCCCGGAGTCTACAACATAAGGCTCTGTCTCATCAATGGCCAGTGGACACTGGGTGTAATGCCACAGGTAGGCAAGCAAGCCAGCCCTAAATGACTAAAACGCTGCTTGTTTGACTGTTTAAGGGGTGTGCATCTATGTGTTCAGGTGCACATGTATGCATGCTTGTGAAGGTCAAAGGTCAACCTCAGAGGTCATTCCCTAGATATCGTGTTTTTTTTCTTTCTTTCTTTTTCTTTTTTCCCCCCAATAAGATCTCTTACTGGCATGGAACTGACCAGTTAAATTAGGCTGGCTAGCCAGTGGCTCCAGGCGTCAGCCTCTCTATGCTTCCCCAATGCTAGGATTCCAAGTACAGCCCCTACCCCCCGTGTCTGGCTGTTGTTATGTGGTTTTGGGGGATCAACTCAAGTTCTCAAGCACTTCGCTTACTGAGTTATCCCCCCAAGACTTTGTTTTGAATGTGAGAAATTTTGGGGGTTGGTGCCAGCTTTTGAGCTAGAGAGGACTCTATTTTTAGATTTTTGTCTTTTCCTGAAGAGCCTAGGAACTCTGCTGAGGTGTTTTCTGTAGGGACCATTGTGATCACATCTGTGATGGCGGAGGATCACAGTGGAGGGCTTCAGTGGAGGCCTCTCACTGATGGAGCAGCCACATTAAGCTCAGGGAGAAATCCTGTGCAGCTCCAAAGGGGCTGCTCACAGAAGCAACCCTAGGGCATAGTTCCTGCTCAGTCTAGGCCCTCTACAGAAACACTGCACAAGTCCTACAACGCTGTTTTTGGTGGCTTTTAGGACCCATAGTCCACTTAGCAGGAAGAGCATCTGCTCTACCTAGTCATAGTATTTGGCTGCTAGAAGGGTTTCTTCAACATCCAGGCTGTTGCATACTACTTCCCAGTCCTGAGTCTCTTTAGGAAAGACAGTGTGGCAGAGAAGTTAAGAAAAGGAGATAGAACACAAGCTTTGAGCACCGGGAAGTGTGATTATTGTATATCCAAGGGACAGTGTGTCCCCAGGAAAACCTGGCCCATACTCAGACCCCTGGATAGTCTCTTCTGCTTGGAGATTCCTGTTCCTTTGTCTAGCAGCTCCAGATGTTCCTCCTTTAACATCCTCATCCACACTGTCCCAAATCTCCCTTCTCACAGCTCCTGCCACACACCCCAAGGCGGATTTGATACAGCAGTCTTTTTCTTTTGCTTCTTAAAGGGCTAGTGGCCTTGGTTTAACACTTGAGTAGACTTTGTGTTTACACTCCCTTCTTAAACTCATAAGTAACAACCTCACAGTTCACAAAGAAGAGGGCAATCTTCACATTTTTAGTCTTAGCTTAGGTCCTCAAGGTTACCTTCCCCACTGAGGGGGTATGAATTGTAGTGATGTCTCACAGGCTGGCTGGGGAGCATAGAGCCCATTGAATATTCCACTGCAGTGCTTCCTAACATGAGATCCCGGACCAGGGCTATCTGGACCACTTAGATACTCCTTAGAAGTGTAAGTTTCTGGGGCCTGAACCAGACCCATGAGATCAGCATACCCAGGGTGGGTCCAGAATTCTGTCTGAGTTGTAACAAACCCTTCTGGAGTGTCTAATGCTCATTAGTTTCAGAATATCCTCAGCATGGCCTCACACCTCTGCCTGCATCACGGCTGGCAAAAGTTTCCCAAGCGCATCTTCTTTTGTGATAATAGTGAGAACAAAAGGGAATTGTTTTCTCTACCAAAGAACTTTTCAGAACTAATGATGATTGAGACATGTTCACTCTGCAAAGAGGGAGATAGAAAATGCAGGGTCCCCCCCACTTGTTTTAATTAAACAAACCTCCCCGACCCCAGAAGAAACTCAGTAAAATCACTAGTGTTCATGGAGTATCCATTAGAGAATAACTCGGGGGGGGGGGGGGGGTGGAGATGGACGTGAAACAGTAACGTGAGCGTCTAGTCTGGAGGATTCGTCAGGGTTCATTTCCCACCAGCTTCTGGTCATCCAGACTCTCTGAGCTTGTGTGGAGGTCCCAGCAGGGAAGCACAGCTGCTCTCACAGCCTTGATGACTGATCCTCCTCTATCCGGAGAGGTCCTCTTCTTCAGCTCGACACAGCTAAAGAAAGGGTGCCACAGAGGGAGGAAGGGGACACATGCTTAGCAAGCCAGATCAACCAATCCTAGTGATCAATGGGGCGACACATGTCATAGCCAGATCTCTCTCACATTCTCATTCACTTGGTTGTCTCTCATTCATTAAACACTCACCAAGTACCTGCTGCATGCCGTGACTGTGGTAGGCTTTAGAGATCCAAACAAGTACATCACAGCTCATCACAGCTGAGGCTGACGAGCACTGTGCTGGAAAGGTTCTCCAGCTGGGGTTCAATTTCTGGAGTCCACCCAGTAAAGGGAGAGAACCAACTCTTGCCAGTTTTCCTCTAATCTCTACACACACACACTCTGGAATGCACCCATCACCACCCACAATAAATAAGTAACTAAATGCATATAAAAAGGTTGTCAGGTTGATATGGGAGCATGGAAGGGAGCGCACCTCAATCTAAGTGCATTTGTCCTGCTATGTGGTCACACGGGTGCCTATTACTACCTCCTTCTCCCACTGCCAGAGTTCATACTCATGGAGCGTGAGCCTTAGCTCATGGCATAGTTATACCTCACTTTTGCGTGGCACAGATTTTTTTATTTTGTTTTTATGAGACTGGATCATGATTATATAGCCCAGGCTGACTTCAAACTCTCTATGTACCTGAGGATAACCTTGAACTTCCGATCCTCCTGTTGTTAACTCCCAAGTGTGGGGATCACAGACATGCACGACCTACAGACATACACATGCCTACTTCAGAGAGATTTCATAAACATTCTTGAGTCAGTCTTCAGAGAAATCCTACAAGAGATCATATTCATTCCTGTGACTGCCGTAACAAATCGCCAGAAACTTAGTGGCTTAATATGATATATTTTTTCTTACAGTTCTGAGGGACAGAGTTCAGCACAGGTCTACCCAGATTGAAGCTAGTGGGTCAGAAAGGGCATATTCCTTTCTGAAGACTCTTTGGGAAAACCATTCATGGCTTTTTGTGGATGACAGGAATTCCTGACATGTGGGAGCAGAAAGTGAAGCGGTGGAGCCTCCAGTTACCTGGGAAGTAGAAGTTGTAAGTGACAACAGAGCTTGCACATTTAGCCCAGGGGAACTCTGAGAACGGGTTGAAGGCGCGGCCTTGATTCTTCTTACTGCTCAAAGTAAGAAAGTTGTTTAATGTCAATGGAATCAGGATTACGAATTGGGTAATTCTCAGTTTACCAAGACGGCAAATGGATGGTAAAATGAAGATACTTGCTCTAAGAAAGCAGATTCCAGAACAAAACCATTAATGGTGTGGCTGTAAACTCACTTAATGCCTCAGAAAGTTAAGTTGCCACCAACTTAGTGACCTAAGCAATACCAATTATTATCTTCCAGTTCTGTCGGTCAGGAATCTGACACGGGTTTCGATAGGCTACAGTTGAGAAATCAGTGGGGCTGCATTTTGTTCTGGGACTCGAGGAGCCAGTTTGTACCATCACACATTCAGGCATCCATACCTTCTGGAGATTGGGATTTAGATATCTTGAGGGTATGGGGATGTCTTATTCTGTTTTCCACAGGGAATAGGACAAGCTCGTTATCTTGTGCTTACACACGAAGACAATAGAGTTCTGGGAGGCAACTGATAGTGCGGGGCTACCAGAACTAACGCTTGGAGCCCATGGCTACAAATCCTGTGCCGATCCCCTCCACATTGTCATCGTTAAAATTAGGATTAGGGAGTCTGGTGACTAAGACAAAATATAAAAGCCCCAGGAAGCCAGTGAATAAGATTACTCTTTTCTTAATGAGTTTTTCTTGTTTGACTTAAGGTATATGATTATATTTTTTCCTAAAAACAAATATTAAAAAACCGAACTGTTGCACATTACTGAGGTTTATGTGTGTTTTCCTCCCCACAAAAGACCAATGTGCATTAATATAAACTGTGTTTCCAGGTAGGGGCTATTTGCCAAATTTCCCTTTTATTCTTCTCTGCACTGTATGCACAGAGGAGCCTGCTTTTTTTGTGGCATGCCCTTGTGTCAGAGGGCTTATGAAATTCTCAAAGCAAATTTCATTTACTTTCATGTTCAAAGGAAATATGTGCAGTGCCGTGCTTTTTTAAAAGTGAAACTTGTTGTAAAAGTGAACAATGGTGGGTTCATAGGTTGCCAAAGAGTTGGCAAATGGTCTCTGAACAAAGACTATATTACATCTGAGTATTGCTGCCAGCAAGGGAAAAGGAAGGGGGAACCATCATTTATGGAGAGACTGTGTCCTGAGGCACCAGCTATGTGTGCGCTTCCACACAGAAGCAGAGGTGGGGCTGAAGGCAAAAATAACTTTTAAATTATTTACAACCCTCGAGATATGAAAATTAAGCTTGTGGGTTATTATTAAAGAGTGACTTTGGTTCAAAGCACTGCAGGTCCTCCGGCTCCTGGGCTGGGTGCAAAGACGCATGTGTGGGGGAAGGGTAACCTGGATCCAAACCCTGCAGCCGCTGGCTGGCGTGGGGGCAGGCAGGATCCCGAGGAGGAACTGGTTTGCTTTTAAGCTGTGCCATAAGCCGGGGGTGTTGAGGCTCAGGCAAGAGGATTGGGAGTTCAAGACCAGCCTGGGCTACATAGCAAGACTCTGTCCCCAAACAAACAGTAACACAGACTACCAACATAGAAACTAAACATAAATAGTGGCTCTCCTGTTGTCCAGACTAGTCTTGAACCTCTGATCCTCATACATCTATCTCCTGAGTGATAGGATTATATATATATATATATGAACCACCATGCATGTTTTTCCCCCAGTGGTAGGTATAGAACTCGGGACCTCATTCACGTTAAGAGAATGCTCTACTAACTGAGCTACACTGGCAGCCCCTGGACAGTAAGTCCTAAAGACCAGAAGGTGAAATCCAGGCATGGTGGCATGTGCTTATAATGCCTGTGTTAAGAAGATGAAGCCACATGGTCTCTAAAGATCAGTGGCCATAGTGAGCAGCCAGCCTCAACAGAGACCCTGTCTCATGAAACAAGGTGGACAGCTTCAAGGACTGACATCTGAGGTCCCCGACTCCTCTGGCGTGAGCACACACATGCACATGCTAGGCCTGGCTTCATCTACGAAAACTTAGTAGACCTTCCTATTTGGGAAGGTCAAAGCCTTGTGGGCTGATGCATCTGCGTTTGCCGCTGCTGCTGCTGCCGCTGCTGCCACTGCTGCTGCTGCTGCTGCCGCTGCTGTAGCCCCAGCCAGACTTGGAGCCAAGGAAGAGTCTGAGGAGTCAGGTAAAGATAGGGAATTTGATCTCCGACCAGTGCTTCCAAAACAACCAACTCCACTGGTTTTGTAGAAGGAACATGTCAATAAAGGGTTACTTCTTTTAAAATAAAAAGAAAGAGGGGGAGAGAGAAACAGAGGAAAAAAGGAAAAGAAAATCTGAAAAAGAATTAAGGCCTGCCATCTTGTGGCTGTCATGGGCCAGGAAAATCAACATATAGTGTGGAGCCTTTCTTTTCTTTTCTTTCCTTTTTCTTCTTCTTTTCTTTTCCTTTCTTTTTTTTTAAACCAGTGCCCTCACACCAGTTTGCTCATGTTAATGATTTTAGCATCTCAAAACCTAACACCAGCTTGTATCTGCCCTTATCTAGAAATTTCTGAAGCAAAAGGCAGAGGGGCTGTTGAGTCACTCAGGCTCTGTCCATACAATCTGTAGATTCACCCAAGCAGGACTGGAGATATTTTGGGAAAAATTGTCTGTTCTGAACTTATACAGCTATGCGTGCGTGCGTGCGTGCGTGCGTGTGTGTGTGTGTGTGTGTGTGTGTGTGTGCACAGAAGGCAGAAGTTGATGTTGGGTATATTCCCCAGTCTGTCTCCACCTTAGTTTTGAGCCAGGGTCTCTCACTGAGCGTGGAGCTCGTTGATTTAGCAGGACTGGCTGGTCAGCGAACCCAGGGATCCTCCTGTCTTTTTCTCCCCAGTGTTAGGATTCTATAGGAACTCCTGCCATGCTTGGATTTTCCTTTTTAATATGATTGCCAGCCTGGAGGCCCAGCTTTTTTCTTGTGACATCTTTGTGTGTTTGGTTTTTGTTTTGTTTTTTTGAGACAGGGTTTCTCTGTGTAACAGCCCTGGCTGTCCTGGAACTCACTCTGTAGACCAGGCTGGCTTCGAACTCGCAGAGATCAGCCTGCCTCTACTTCCCGAGTGTCGGGACTAAAGGTGTGTGCCGCCACCACCAGGCTAAACCAGGACTTCTTAACCTTTTTCTACTTGTGACTCCTTTTCACCTTCCAATTTCCATCCACATTTACCCTAATGAATAAGTATATAAAAAGGTAAATAAATAAAATGTTTACTGTCATAATGAAATTTATTTTAAAACAATTCTTTTTTTTACATATAATTTTACCCCTTATTAAAGGTGAAAGCAAATCCACATACTAATGAGATAGATTGGGCATATTTATTTTTATGTAAAAAGCAAGTCCTGGTTGAATATTTGGTATACAGGACACAGAACATCTTTGACATTTTTCAGAGTTTGATTGACATTTTGCTTTTATAATCATCAATTTTGAGCATACCGCCTCACAGAAATATACAGTACAAAGAGGCAGAAAGATGTTTAGGGCCATTTCAGAAGTTGTTGGAAATTTTGTCCTAATCCCAAGTCAAAATCACTGAATGACTTAATTTTTTTAAAGGAAAGTCAAGTCAGTAACTCAAATAGCAATTTTTAAGTTCTAATACAACACTATATAAAGATATACTGATTTAATGCTTCTATGAAAACATCAAGGCCTTGTTTACCATAGTCGAGTCATTGTATTTCAATAAGGGCAGAGAACTTTGCATCTACACTAAAAACACTACAAACCTTAATCCACCACAGCCTCAAAGCTGAGCCAGTGTTCCAGCCAGCATTTCCTGATGTGATGGCCATACACAGGGCAAAGTGTACATATTCAGAATCACGGCTGTGGTGAAGTCACGCGATGTACGTGGGCGTGCGTTGCCAGAAACAGCTCACATTCATTGTGCATCTGCACATCCAGAAACGTCTTACTCTTGCTCAGTTTTCACAGCCTCCACATTCGGTTGTAGGGATTTAGGGGGGCAAAGCTACCAGGCTGTGGTTCCCAAGAGGCTTGGGGACACCCGTATTTTCTTGCCTTGCTTTTTCTGTTCTTTCTCATTTTTTCCTGCTTGTTTTCTCTTCTTTCCCTTTTCTTTCTTTCATCTGTCCTTGAACTTCATTTTCACTGCCTTTCCCTCTCTTCTCTTCTTCTTTTTCTTTCGTTCTCTTTCTCATGCTCTAATATCCATTACCACTTTCTTTCCCTTGCCCCCTCCCCATTTTTCTTTTATTTCTGCCAGCTTTTTGTTTTGGTCCCTCTCCTTCCTTTACACTTTCATGCCTGGAGGTCGATATGCTCAGCAGGGGTCTGTGGCGTCCTCTGTAGCTCTCTAGATGCATATAAATACTGATTCAGTTTGCTTCAGAAGATGCTGTAACAGTCTCCCTTGATGCTGTGCCACTAAGATCTTTGGATTTGGAAACAGAGGCCTCAGATCGGCACAGAACCCAGTTTGGGAAGCCTTATGGAGTACTGGACTGCACAAATACAGTGTAATTCTCCCTTTTCTAGTCCCTGCATTTATAACTAGTTCTGCATTCAACAAGAAGAGAACAATACAAGCCGCATCTCCACAGTGGTCTACACACACCGAGGATGCTGGGTAATTTGTTGCTTTAAAATTACTGTTACGTTTTCCCTGCTTTTCCTTCCTCCCTCCCTCCCTCCCTCCCTCCCTCCCTCCTTCCCTCCCTTCCACTTCTCTTTGGTTTTTCAAGACAAGGTTTCTCTGTGTAGCCCTGACTGTCCTGGAACTTGCTCTGTAGACCAGGCTGACCGAGAACTCACAGAAATCTGCCTATCTGGGATTAAAAGAGTACACTACCATGCCTGCAACTTCTGAGAGTCTTCATGAACTGTTTTGTGAATTTGAAAGTTGACACACTTTCTTTTGGAGGGCTTCTCATTGACACTTCATGCACGGGCTGGAAGGCATCATCTCCATGCTCACCTGGGTCCACTCTTCTTCCATCAGATAAGAGAGACCTAACAGCCACATGCTCAGATCCCCAGGATGCTTACTAGTGATGAGTTATTGAATCTCAGATTTTTACTCTTAAAAAATTATAATGTTTAGTTAATCATGGTGGTGCACACTTGTAATCCTCACATTTAGGGTGGGGTGGAGTTAAGAGGATCAGGAGTACAAGGCCAGCCTCAGCTGCATTGTTGAGTTTGAGGCCAATATGAGGTATGTGAGCCTCTATCTCAATCACATGTATGTATGCATATGTATGTATGCATGCATGCATACATGTACCTATGCTGGGCACAGTAGCACATTTGTAATGCCATCACTTAGGAGACTGAGGAGAGAGGATTACTACTAGGTCAACTTGGGCTACCCAATGAAACCTTGTCTAAAAAGTAAAGAATGAATAATCTTTACCATGTGGGGTTGACATGGCCCCTTAAGACTTCCTACAGTGTTGGGCTGCTTCTAAGAATGGTAAATAACCTCTTGACTTCTTTTGCTCCAGATACTGTATGGAGTTCAGGACAGAGTCCCTGACTCCTCATTGTGCCCTGGACAACCGTCCCCTCACTCGATGGATGCAGTATCTCCGAGAGGGATACACAGTGTGTGTGGACTGTCAGCCTCCGGCCATGAACTCTGTGAGCCTGCGTTGTTCCGGAGATGGCCTGGATTCTGATGGGTAAGGACAGGCCACTGACCGAAGGGCTTTTCTGCTCACCCTGAGGACCCGTCCTCTGTGTCCTGAAGAGCTGAGCAGTATGCAGCATTTCAGCGCAGGGCAGGATGTGAGCAGTGAGGAGAACCTATCCAGGGACCCCTATCCAGGGCTTTGGTTCCCACTGTAGGACTCAGAAGCTCTCTGGAGCAGAAGTACACAGGCCAGCTTGGTTATTGGCGTTCACTTCAGATGAAGCTCCCCAAAGACTACCAAAACTCTGGTCACTCTAAAGTACTATAGACGACTTGACTCTGAATCTCTTGGGTTGGAGAATTAGAATACATACATATTCTTGGTCCTACTTCTTAGGACCAGGTGAACCAGAGTTTTAGTAATCTTGGAGGTCTGGACCTAAAACTTGTCCTATAAAATGTCAGAAAGCAGTTATTTTTGGCTTTTCATCCAATACATCTTTTCTCATAACGACTGTACTCTGGCATTGGTCATGAGAGCAGCCGTTGATACTATTTAAAGCTTGGCTTTGTTCTAACAAAACTCTATGTGTGAACCCCAGAATTTAAGTTTTGGATGATTTTCATGTGTCATGAAATATTACTCTTTTGGTTTTTCCTTAACTCTTTGTTGCTGTTTGAAATAGGGTCCCACTCTAGCTAAGGATAGCCTGGAACCCACGACACAGGTCACGGTGGCCTGGAACTCATGGCAATCCTCCAGAATCAGCCTCCAAAATATTGGGATTGCAAACATAGATTACCATACTTGGCTTCTTTTAATTCTTAAAAACACAGAAGTTGTGGCCGGAGAGACAGCTCAGCAGTTAAGGGTTTGTGCTGCTTTCCCAGAGGACCCGAGTTCAGTCCTCGGCACGCAGGTTGGGGAGCTCACTTCTGCTGCTAACTGCAGCTCGGCTTTTTGGGTTCCTCAAAGACTCACACACATATGCACATAACTAAAAATGAATAAAATCTTAAAAAAAATAACATTCATCCTTAACCCACAAGTCCCATTCAAAAAGATGGAGTGGGCAAATAAGGGGTCATAGTGTGCTGGCCCTGCCAAGTGATTCGAACCCCAGTAATGTTTCCGATCTGCTGTGTCTGAGGTGGGTTTTCTGCAAACAGTGACTCCAGACATTGTGTCTCCCCAAAAGCCTCTCCCGGTCCTGCACTCACTTTCAGTTAGACCCACTAAACGCCTTTTACAGCTAGAAAAAAGGAATCACTGGAGACGCTATGGATAAGAACCAATTTAGTCACACCATAATGGTTTCCAGCATGTCAGGTGTAATTGGTAAAAATAGATTAAAAGTAAAATCCTGACCTTTCCAGTTAATCATTCATTATTCCCATCATGTTTTAATATTTAATAATTCGGTTCGTGTTTATTAGTCACTTGTGCCTAGTGGTCTCTATTGAGTTTGCCATATGAGCAATAAAGTGGGTAAGGAATTCATATCAAATGAAACCTAATATTTGGATTTAATGTTTTTCTGAATACCTCATCTCTATTTTGACTTTAAATGAATTTATAATTCAATTTGTACCCAATAAAGAGAGCACTTAAACCCTGGTTACTATTTGAGTGACTTAATGAATAATATTTTTAATTCTCTGGCTTTGTTTTCTGTACTTTTTCCATTTTTCATTATGAAATCAAAGAGTTGGAATAGGACGAAAGTGGTCATTTGGCTAGACCCTCCTAGCTTAACCATACACAGAACACCATTGTCTGTGTGCAGCACCTACGTTCACCTGGGAGAAATGGGCAAGGAAACCCCAGGCAACTCTGAACATGAGTGTCCTCGAATAGGGATTAATCGGTAACTTATATTGGCAGAACCCAAGAACGTCTTCTCTGTGACTGTAGAAAGGGGTTTGGGGTGGTGGTGGCTAGAGATGGCTCTGTGGTTAAGAGCACTGGATGTTCTTCCAGAGGACCCGGGTTCAGTTCCCAGCACCCACATGGCAGCTCACAACCATCTATAAACCCAGTCCCAGGAGATCCAATACCCACAAGCATACATTTAGGCAAAACACTCATACACATAAAATTTAAAAAAAATGAATACATAATTTAAAAAACTGATTTGTAATGTATTTTGAAGCTGTGTGATTACTATCTATCTTAGTTATGGTTTCTATTGCTGTGATACAGTACTATGATCAAAAGCAATTTGGGAAGTAAAGGTTCTATTTACTCTTATAGACTGTAAGTCTTTCACTGAGGGAAGTCAGGGCAGGAACCTGGAGTCAGGAACTGGAGCAGAGGCCATAGAAGAATGCTGCATATTTGTTTGCTCCCCATGGTTTGCTTAGCCTTTCTTACAGCATCTAGGACCACTAGCCTAGGGATGTCACGGCCCACAGTGAGCTGACCCCTGTCACATCAAACATCAATTAAAAAAAATGTACCACAGGCTTGCCCACTGGCCAGTCTGGTGGAATAAGTTTCTCAATTGAGATTCCCTCTTCCTGAATGGCTCTAGCTTGTATCAGATTGATATAACACTAGCTAGCACATTGTCTTTAAAAACATCAACAAACAGCACATTAGGGCTGGAGAGGTGGCTCAGCCGTTAACAGCACTTGTTGCTCTTGTAGAGGACCTGGATTCAGTTCCCAGCACCCACATAGAGGCTAACAACCCAGCTCCAGGGGATCAAGTACCCTCTTCTGGCCCCTGTGGTCACTAGGCATGCATACACTCACATATGTGAGGGCAAAACAATCATACACACAAATTAAAAATACATAGATCCTTTTCAAAAAGTTATAACCGTGTAGATTAGAATTTCCTTTGGTTTGCTTTTAGTATAACCTACGTTTCTATAATATCGTTTCAGAAATCAGACTCTTCGCTGGCAAGCCATTGGCAATCCTCGATGTCAAGGGACCTGGAAGAAAGTGCGGCGGGTCGACCAGTGTTCCTGTCCAGAAGTGCACCGCTTCATTTTTATATAGAGCATCTTGGAGTCACTTGGCAGAGTGCTTGCCAGTGGGTTGGGTATTATTAAACTGAGTTCAACACTTCAGAAGCCTCCAAAAGCTACGTCAAGTCCCCGGGCACTCTCCATTGTTTTTGAGAAAGAAAACTTAGGGATAGTTCTCAAGGATCACAATCTCTTTGTTTTTATTTTTACTGAGTTAAGGACCCACACTCAAAGCTCCTATGGCTATGACCTTGACCTTACCTCTGGCCACAGAGTACATGTCTGTTTGTACTAGAATCACTACCATGGGCTCAAGTTTGGGGTAAGTTTTTGTCTAAGGGCATCTATGTATTCTTTGTCTTTATTGGTTTTTTGTTTTGTTGTTTTAAATTAAAGACAAGGTCTCACTATGTAGACCAGGCTGGCCTCTAATTCATAGATACTCAACTGCCTCTGCCTCATGACTAAAGGAGTGTGCCACGATGTTCGGCTATTCTTTGTCTCTATTCTTTTTTTGGAGGGTGCGGGGGTATGCAGGGTTTCTGTATAGCCCTTGCTGTCCTGGAACTCACTCTGTAGAGCAAGGTGGCATCGAATTCAGAGATCCACCTGTGTCTGCCTTCCCAATGTTAGGATAAAAGACACGTGCTACCTATTCTTAAAAGTTTCTCACTTAAGCCGGGCGGTGGTGGCGCACGCCTTTAATCCCAGCACTCGGGAGGCAGAGGCAGGTGGATCTCTGTGAGTTCGAGGCCAGCCTGGTCTCCAAAGCGAGTACCAGGAAAGGCGCAAAGCTACACAGAGAAACCCTGTCTTGAAAAAAACAAAACAAAAAAAAAGTTTCTCACTTAAAAAAAAATACACATACGTGACTCTCACACGTAAAGCTCCTATATATTACTTTATAAGTTATAAACTAATTTCAAGTAAATTGTCACAAATAATTTTTCATAGGGAAAGTTATTAAAATTTCATTTGGTGTTTTGTGATGAAAAGCCAACACCCATGCTAAAAACATTTTTAAAGAAGAAATTTTCTTTGGTTAGTTGAAAAGATTAAATATCCATGCTAGATCCATAGGAATTACTTAAAGTGTTACAATTTTCTTGAGATTTGGCACCAATGAGTGAGCCAAATGCTTTAATTCTAAGCACTCTATCATCATTCATAGTTAAGATTGTTTCCAACGTTTGGTGCCTGACACAGGATCAAACAATCTTGTAATGTCCGACTTCACATTTAGTTGAAGTGCACTTACACATTTTCTTTCTACAGCACATGTTTAGGGTGAGACGCAGAGGTACATCTGATAGGAGGCATGGATCTTCCTGCAAATGTCATAATCTCATACATAGGCAATAAAATATTAGCTTTACCTTATGGTTGGAAGATAGGTGTTTGTAGCCACATGGCATGGTGTGCTTTCAGGTCTAGGAAAGCAAGCTGTCCTGTAGTCATCTGTGGAGCCTCGTCCAGGTTCTTCATCCTGGACTCTACTTCAGTAAAGGTCATCCTGAGTATGCCCAAGACTCCAGTATAGGACCTCAGCCTGGTTTCGTTTTGAAGTGGGTTTTCAACTGAGGATTATTTTCTTTGAAGAATTGAATCAATATTTAAAAGCTATAATTCCTTTGGTCTGGATTGAATTGCATAATTATTCACTAACATGGTTAACTAAAATATATATATTTTTGGTACTGGACATGTAACAACAGAAGGCCAAAAACAAGCTAAAAGGGTGGCAAATGTCTCCAATGGTATTTGTGATTATATTTTCATTTAACTGCTAAGGTTGTTTTCATGGAAAATTAATAAAAAAACAACTTCAATTTTGGGGCTGGAGAGATGGCTCAGCAGTTAAGCGTGTGCTCAGTACTCTTGTAGAGGACTGGAGTTTGGTTCTCAGCACCCATGGAAGATGGCTCATAACAACCTGTAGCTCCAGGATGTTTGGTTGGGCACTCTGAGGCATAAGTAACCAGTTAAGTGTATTGAAAGAGACATGCAACTTTAGGTCTAGGTGAGAAATACAGCTTACTTCTCTTCCTTCCCAAATAAATTATGCAGATAACATAGGTGAGGATATGGGAGGCAGCCTCAGCTCAGTAACTTTGAATGTATCTCCCCCACCCCCACCCCCAAGACAAGGTCTCATGTAACAGACTGGCGTGGAACCCACTATTTAGTTGAGGGCAGCCTTGAACTTCTGATTCCTCCCCAACATCCCCCAGGTGCTACCATTACAGGTGTGCATCCTCACTCTAGTTTTTGGTACTGAGGATTGAACCTAGGACATTATGGATGCTAAGAAAGCCCCCTAGCCAACTGGGACACACGTTTTTAAGATTGAAAGAAAATGAGATTTTACTGATGGATACACAAGAGCTGGATGAGGTAGAAGGAACTTCATTTTCTATCATTTAGAGAAGATGGAATCAGCAGTAAGAACCTTTCTCCCGAAAGGCAGGAGGACCCTCACAGTGCAGGGTGACTTTTTGAAGATCCCTGTTTGCTGAGAGAAAACTAGGGCTCCTAGAGAGGAGCAAAAATCCTTGAGGAGGCTGAGACTCTCTTCAGCATCAGTAGGTGCATTACACCAGACACAGAACGATGTCTGGAATATCAAAACACAAAAGAATCCAAACTATGCTAGACAGAGAAATCTGGTTCACATGTATAGGACCAGTAATTAGAACAGTGTAGGACAATTTATAATGAAACATTTGAAGCTAAAAGACAAGAGTGATACCTTTGAAATTGGAAAAGGAAATTTTTCAAAATAAAATTCTATATCCAATAAAATTATTCACCACATACAAGGGATTTTTTAGACATGTAAAGCACGAAAGTTTCTACTCTATGCCCCTTTTCTGGGAGGACATCAGAGGGGTGCTCAACCTAAACTGGAGTGGAGTGTAAACCAAGCAGGACTACCCAGAGACTAGGGAACAGGCCCTGGAAAGACAAGTGGGATTCTCAGGGTAGAGAGACAGCCCAGACCAAGCTAGCCACACGACTCCCTGCAGGCAGGACAAGAAGGCAATGCGGTGACAGAAAGTCTGTCACATGGTGACAGGCTTGGAGACTTTCAATTTGGTTAGAGGAACTGGGCATATGGAAATTACAGACACACAGAAACTATAAAGCTCAGGTGTAAACAACAGCCATAGAATTATGATGATATAAACATTACATCATTATACAAAACAATGAAAAAAATCATGACTATTCGTTTAGCATGAGGATGACAAGTTCTTGACAGTGGAGACACAGATATAGTGAGGAGTGGAGGTGTTGCAAGTGTGTGTGTGGGTGGCTGGTGTATAGACGGGTGTAAGTGTGTGGGGGGCTGGGGGTAGGGGCTGGTGTATAGACGAGTATAAGTGTGTGAGGGGCTGGGGGTAGGGGCTGGGGTATAGATGGGTGTAAGTGTGTGGGGGGCTGGGGGTAGGGGCTGGTGTATAGACGAGTATAAGTGTGTGAGGGGCTGGGGGTAGGGGCTGGGGTATAGATGGGTGTAAGTGTGTGGGGGGCTGGGGGTAGGGGCTGGGGTATAGACGGGTGTAAGTGTGTGGGGGGCTGGGGGTAGGGGCTGGTGTATAGACGGGTATAAGTGTGTGAGGGGCTGGGGTATAGACGGGTGTAAGTGTGTGGGGGACTGGGGGTAGGGGCTGGGGTATAGTCAGGTGTAAGTGTGTGGGGGCCTGGGAGTAGGGGCTGGGGTACAGTCAGATGTAAGTATGTGGGGGCCTGGGGGTAGGGGCTGGGGTATAGTCGGGTGTAAATGTGTGGGGGGCTGGGGTAGGGGCTGGGGTATAGTCAGGTGTAAGTGTGTGGGGGCCTGGGGGTAGGGGCTGGGGTACAGTCAGGTGTAAGTATGTGGGAGCCTGGAAGTAGGGGCTGAGGTATAGACGGGTGTAAGTGTGTGGGGGTCCTGGGGGTAGTGGCTGAGGTATAGATGGGTGTAAGTATGTGGGAGGCTGGGGTATAGACGGGTGTAAGTATGTGGGGGGCTGGGGTATAGACAGGTGTGTTTGGGGGTCTGGGGGTAGGGGCTGGGATATAGTTGGTTGTAAGTGTGTGGGGGTCTGGGGTATAGTCGGGTATAAGTGTGTGGGGGCTGGGGTATAGACGGGTGTAAGTATGTCGGGGGCTGGGGGTAGGGTCTGGGGTATAGACGGGTGTAACATGCAGGAGACCTAACACTTGTTCCTATAGCTCATTGGTTCTCATCTTCCTGATGCTGTGACCCTTTAACATAGTTCCTCATGTGGTGACATCCTGCCCATAAATTATTTTTGTTGTTACTTCGTAACTGTAATGTTGCTGTTATGAATTGTAATGTAAACATCTGTGTCTTCAGATGGCAACTGTGAAAGGGTCATTTGACTCACCCAAGGGTCATGACCCACAGGTTGAGAACCACTGCTATAATGAGGTCAATGAAAAACAACGGAAAAGCATGAGCGTATTTTTAAAGATAAATATTAAAATACCCGAGAAAAAGTGAAAGGATTGAGAAGGGCCACTTGTAGGGAGCACTAGAACTTGGTGGAGGGGATCTTCATTTGTAAACCACGGCAAGCAATTTTAATTTTAAAATTACGAAGATGTATTATTCTCGTAAGAGTTAAAAGAAAGGCTTCAGGAAGGAATTGTAAGTAAAAAAAATCAAAATACAACATAAACTGAACACAGCGTCATTTCGAGCTGCCAAGAATGGTCGACAACAGAAAGGGGATGTACACTTTACCTTGGCGGTTATATCGCTCACATTTCCTGTTCCCATCACAGCTAACTCACAGAGAAGCGTTGTTTTGGCCCAGAGTTTTGGGGAGCTCAAGTTTCTGAGTCTGTTGATCTTGGCCTGTGGTGAGGCAGAGCATCAAGCCAGTGTGAGCTTGCTTCAGAGGCTGCTCAACTCAGGGAGCGGGAAGAGGGAGGCAGGGACCAGGAGCCAGCTCTAACCTTCAAAGGCTCAGTCCCAGGAGCCTGCCTCCTCCAGTTAAGCCCCACTTCCCGACATCACCTCCCCAACAGCACTGCCTGCTGGGGACCTATGCACTGAAAACATGAACCGGTGGGGGAAAATTCAGTCAAAAATATATTACTCTTCTCTTTCTGTGACCAAATAGATGACTGGAAGTGGTCTAAGTGAGAAAGGTTTATGTTGGCTTACAGAAAAAGAAGGGATGCCATGCATGATGGGGAGGGTGGAGCCAGGCTATAGAGTCTCAAAGCCTGCTCTTAGTGACTCACTTCCTGTAGGAAGGCTCCACCCCCTAACAGTTTCATAACCTCCCAAAGCATTGCCACCAGCCGGGGACCAAGAGTTCAAACACACGAGCCTCCTGGGGACATTTTACACCGAAGCCACAGCAATATAAGAATATTTTCCCCGAATTTGATCAATTCTGTGACAGGGACAAGGTACAGCAGGAGAGACCTGTGGTCCCAATTACTGGGAGAGCTGAGGCAGAAGGATCACATGTTCAAGGCCTAGCTTGACTACGGAGAATTTTGTGACACAGCATGACATTTGAAAGAGTTAACCCTCACTCTAGGATCCACTGTAAGTATCACTTGATCCTAACGGATTTGTTTTCTTTTTTTATATTTATTTTTATTTACAGTTATGTATGAGCAGGTGCACAGGCATGCAGGGGCCAGCAGAAGCTGGAGTGACAGGTGGTTGTAAGCCACTGGATGTGGGGACTGGGAACTGAACTTGGGTTTTCTGCAAGAAAAGTATATGTTCTTAACCACTGAGAAATACCTACAGCGTATTTTTAGTTAAAAATTATTTTATATGTATAGCTGTTTGGCCGGCATGTGTGTCTTTACCACGTGTGTACCGTGCGTGGCCACAAAGGTCAGAAGAGGGTCAGATCCCCTGGAAGTGGAGTGACAGATGGTTGTTAGCCACCATGTGAGTGCTGGGAATTGAATCTGGGTCCTCTGGGGGGAAACCTAGTGCTTTCAACTGCCGGGCCTTCTCTCTGGCCTTTGTGTTTTCAGACAAGGTCTCACACTGTAGCCCAAGCTGGCTTCCTTGCTTCAGCCTCCCAAGCAATCAGGCCAGAAGGCGAGAGCCATCATTTTGGTCCTGGGTAGTTTTTTTGTTCATTAGTTTTGTTTTTTAAGAATCAACTTATATCTAAAGCACCAATACTAAATTACAATCATTTGTCAGACTGAATGGCAAACTAAAACCAAAAACACTTACCAACAAAGTCGCTGACACATCCAAGATCTGAGGGACCGGGGCCTGCCGAGCCCGCCTGGTGTGCATCTCACATCTGCAGCGCTAGGACCGGGGTGGGGGTGAAGAGGAGGCTGCTGTGAACTAATCCGGCCCACAGAAGAAACAAAGAAAGGAAGAATGAGATGAATAAAGGCAAGGAGTACAGGGATGTGAGGGAGTTGTGATGAAGGCTTCAGCCAGGTTTATCCACAGAATGAAGGGAGCTGAAGCCTGTTATTCAGTGTGAGGGTGAAGAGAACCACCTGGGAAGGTACCTACTAGCTGCTGAGTAAAATCTCTGTGGAGGAGGACAGGGAGAGGCAGAGTGCACCTTTCATTTAATATAATTCGGGGTTCTTAAAACTATAAATAAATTCCTGTGAAGAATGATCTGGGAAGACAGAAAGGGCTTTTAGATTTATTTTGTTTTCATTCGAGGCCAGTTCTTGCTACATACCCAGGCCGGCCATGAATTCATGGCGATCCTCCTACCTCAACTTCCCAAGAGCTCGGATTATAGGCCTGAACCAATGGGAGTTGGAATAGGTTTGGGGAAGCCACCCTATGACCTTTGGAGCTCCTGCTGTGCT